ACCAGCAGATCATTGCAAACTTCAAAAAACTGTACACCAAAGTTATGTTTCAAAGGTGCTTTGACATAACCTTGGACTCTGAATTGACTCTAAGAGAGTTCTGGAAGAATCACTTCAGTATCTTCCACTGCATAAGCCTTATAGATAAGGCTTGGCAGGGAGTGACTTCCAGGATGATGAACTCTGCTTGGGGAAAATTGTGGCCGGATTGTGTCCAAAAGAAGGATTTTGAAGGGTTTGAGGCTGACCCTGTCAACCCTAAACCTGTTGTGCAATCAATTGTGGCATTGGGGAATTCCATGGGGTTGGATGTGAGTAGTAAGGATGTGGAAAAGTTGGTGGAGGACCACAATGAAGAGCTAACCACTGATGAGCTGCAAGAGCTTCATGTGCAACAGCAACAGACCACAGCTCAGGAAATTGCTTCAGAGGAGGAGGAAGAGAGATGGAAGAAGGTGCCTTCTTCAGAGATTAAGGAAATGTGTGCAATGTGGACTAAAATGCATTCATTTGTGGAGGAACATCACCCTGAGAAAGCTGTTGCAATCCGTGCTGGCGACTTTTACAATGACAATGCAATGTCCCATTTCAGGCAAATCTTAAAGTGACGCCAGAAACAGAGCACTCTGGACAGTTATTTTGTGCGGCAGGGGTCCAGTGACTCTCAAGCTGGTCCTAGTGGCATTAAAAAACAAAGGAGGGAAGTAACCCCAGATAAAGATGTGGTACCTAGAATTCTTGTGGAGGGGGGTACCCCTTCCAAAAAATAACCTCTTCCCTCTCCCCTCCTCCCTGTCTTCCATCCATCAACAACAGCCATCAATAAAGGTAAGTGTCATGTTGAATGTTCATTTTTTTGTGCATGTAAATCTATCTTTAAGGTAAAAAATTTTTTTTTGTTAATACTTCTGGGTGTCTGGAACAGATTAATTGAATTTACATTATTTCTGATGGGGAAAATGGTTTCCGTTTTTGCCGATTCCCATTTTCGCCGATCACTCTGGAATAGATTAAACATAAAAACCAAGGGCCCACTGTATAAGTATCAGGAGGGGGTAAACAAGGTTTTGTGGGCTAGAGGTTTGGACTTCCAGCAAGTGTGCAAGAGCATGTTTGGGAGGAGTGAATGGAGACAAATGGTTTTTGGGACCTGACGAGCTGTTGGAGTGTGAGCAAGGTAATATTTTGTAAAGGGATTCAGGGAAACCGGTTAGCTGGGCTTGAGTCCTGGAAATGGGAAGTACAATGCCTGCACTTTAAAGGAGAGATTTGGGATATTGGCAGTTCTGAGGGACGTCTAAACTGTTGTATCTGAGTGCCTCTGCAAAGACAGTGATCATGTATGAGTGATGGTAAAAGTGTTGAATGATGATGAAAGTTTTTTTTCTTTCTTTTTGAGTTTTTCTTTCTTTTTGGGTCACCCTGCCTTGGTGGAAAACAGCCGATGTGTTAAAAAAAAGTATCAGGAGTCCAGAAGTTATTTTACAGCTCTAAACATTATTAATAAGAGCTTGCTTGGATTATGCTGCTCATTTCTGGTCTCCATATTACAGAATGGAAATAAAATACATTGGAAAACATATAGAGAAGGATGACAAAATTAATCCACTGTATAATTCATTTCTCATATAAGGTTAGACTGAGAGCCCTGAACCTTTACCCCCTTGGAAGATGAAGAATAAAGGGAGATACTGAATTATGTGTGGAAGGACAAGCATAAATAAAGGGATATAAACAATGTAATGAGGATATCCAGCCAAGAGAGAACTTGAAATACAGTCTCTCCTCACTTAGTGACATACTTGTTTGCTGACACCTTGGATTTACGAAAGGCCCTCTGACCAGTATCCATGCCTAAATAATGTATATTAGAGCTGATTTCCTCTACTCTGTTTGTTATAATATACAGTAGACTACTGTATAAACATTTAAAAATATACCAGAAATGTTATCAATGGTGCAAAGGTGACTTTAAAACAATATCAAAGATGGTTGACACAAATCCACTACCATTATAGTATGCTCCTCACTTAGCGACGAATTGGTTTACTGATGTGGTCTTAGGAATGGAACTCCATCATTAAGTGAGGAGAGGCTGTAATGGATTTAAATTAGAGAAGTTTAAATTTAGAAAGAATGTAGGAAAGTGCTGGTAGAGTTAAAGAAGCTAAAGCATTATGGAGCTTCAAACATTGGCTAGACAAATATATAAGTGAGAAGGAAGAAGGACTGGATTACAGTGGGATCAGTCTAGCATCAGTTATTAAGGTTACTGAAATTAATATATAAGTGAGAAGGAAGAAGGACTGGATTACAGTGGGATCAGTCTAGCATCAGTTATTAAGGTTATTGAAATTATTTTCTTGGTTAGCACTGAGGATAGGCTGAACAAATATAATGGCAGGAAGGGTTGAATTTGAGAAGGACTTGCCAAATAAGGGTCAGTAGGCCTGCTGCAGTGTTCTTCTATTTATATTCAGTATCTGGTGACTCACGAGATACTGAATGCTATTTCTCGCCTGTCTCTGTCTCTCATTTAGCTCCTCCCACTTCATAACGATGTAAGAAGGTGAATTTAATGTATTAAACAAAAACATTAACACCTTGACTGTCGCAACCCCAAATCCTGAGGTGTCTCCTGGTGTCACAAAATTTAAAAAAAAAAAAAAAAAAAAAATTCTTATGCAATGATAGAGAATATTTTCTCAATTGTAATGACACCAAAAGAATGAAATTTGATGGAAAACTGACAGAATTACGCTCTCGCAAAGTTAGCGACCTCGGCAATATTTACAAATCAGCAATTTCGCCCACTTTGAGCCCTATTTTCGGCTAATTCCATTGTTCCAGTCGACCAAACTCATAGCTATTTCTTTAGAATTCCATTTTTCTATCGATTGAGTACGAGAAACTGCCCATTTACTGATTTCAACTACCCAATAACGTGGTCAGAAATTTGCAATTTGGCCAATTTCACGTAAATTAAAAAATATGACAATTTCAAAATAGGGTCCAGAATGAACAATGCAGACATTCCTGGCTCTAAAATAATATTTTTCTTTGTTCATCAGCCATGTCTTCAGGCCCATCTGATATTACTCTTGCTTTCTATTTTGAATTTTTATTCAAACAAAAAATAGAAGATTTACTGTTATGCAGACTACTGCAATATTGTAATAATTGTATAAATAATGTCAACCCATTCATGACTGCATATCAGAATGGCTATTTGGACATTTATTGGAAAATGACATCATTTGTTTACTTTTGAATATCAGCAAAAATCAAACATTTCCCCTACTTTGAGCTCCATTTCAAGGTTCTTTTCATTGTAAAACCAATCAAAATCATCTCTGTCTTTATAATATGTTTTCCATTCTATCAAATGAGACCAAGAAAACGAGAATACAACCATAAATACTATACGAAAATAGACCACAAATTCGCCATTTTAATTAAAAAAAAAAACGGTCAGAGTTTCTTTTTTATCATTATGCACTGCGTGCTGCAGGATTTTTTTATATGGTGCACACTGACCACACAGACCCATTCTCTCACATGTGGGCCTACCAGCTTTCTCCTGCTTCATTTGAAGCCGCTAGAATTTATGAATATATATACGTCAAACACAGTGGCTCGTAAGACGTATATATATGACTGAAACAGTCAAAGGGTTAAAAAAAAAACTTGAAAATTAAAGTCTTCCATTAGGCAAACTGTATCAATGTAGCTTATTACCAAATTGATTCTTTCTCCTGCTACTGCACCTCTCTTCTACTTTTCCACCCTGACTCACATAGCAAATAATACATGATAATCTTTAATTTATATAGCAGAAGGTGTCTTTCTCTCCCATGTACTCCCATCCATGTTATACATACTCTCCTCAGGTATTTCTACCAACTTGAAAAAACCTTGTAGTCCAAGTGAAACTGGATTCAATGGAAATAAGTCAGCATATATGTAGAGAACCTGGGTTATCCCAGGTTCTCTACATATATGCTGCTGAATATGATAATCTATGTAAGAACTGAATATGATAATCTATGTAACTGTATTTGTGTATACCTGAATAAACTTACTTACTTATTTATTCAATAAAGTCTCGTATAACTGCATTTTATGTCTGGAATGATATCATTCCAGACTATGGACCACCTCAAAACTTATTACATCGTGTTTTCATCTGAACTGCTTCTTCTGTCTCTTCTGTATTTGACTGAAGAAGCCAACTGTGTAGGTGAAACGTTTCAACAATAAAGATACTTAGTTGTTGCACAAGTATCTTACTCATCAACTTGTTGGTATTTTATATAATTTTCAACAAAGAAGTTGCTTGGGTATACAAGGAGCTCTGATCTATAAGGCTATTCAGCACTTACAATAATAAAAGTTTAATATAGTATTGTACCAAAACTATTTAACATTACTTACCATTTAAATCAAGCACACAACGACAAAATAAATACTATCTGCCAAAATAGTCTGCATTACTAATACCCAGTAATCAAAAACACTAAATTATTGAACCTCATGACAAAATGATATTGAACTCTAATGACACAGAGGGTTGATAAATTAGACACCTGTGCAACACTTGGGTGTCTTTATTATGGAAATGTTCTGCCACACAGTGGCTTCATCAGTCGATACAAAGATGAATGGTGAAGATCAGAAGGAGTTTAAGGTAATCAGTCCCTCAGCCTGGAGGTCAAGACTGATGGATTGATTACACTGACTCTTTTCAATCTTTTTAAGATTGATGGACTGATTACATTGACTCCAGGCTCAGGGACTAATTACCTCAAACTCCTTCTGGTCTTCAACATTCTTCTTTGTATAGGACTGATGAAGCCACTGTGTGCTGAAATGTTTCCACAATAAAGATGTCTAAGTGTTGGACATGTGTCTAATTTATCAAGTCGTCAGTTCTCTGAACCAATGATCTACAGTCAGAGGGTTAATTATAGTGACTTAAATATGTTATATTTTGTTCTTACCCGATTGGACATGTCAAAGTTGAATGATGCTGAATGTTCGGTACTAACGGTCACTCTAGAGAGGGAGCGAGAGCGAGACTGACCAGATATACCTGAGTTGTGCTCAAGAGTGGTGTCACCATGGTCATAGCTGTGTTCATCTTCTGCTACAGTCATGCACTCTTCACTCGTTCCTCCTGGGCAGTTGTAACCAAACCCTGCAAGCCTGAAGAGTTAAATGCTTAATTTAGAACTTAATTAGAAATATATTAAAATACCCTAAATGGTACTTCAAGAAGTGCTAAAATTTAAAAAATACCAACAGTCTTAAATAATCAAAAACTTTGATGGTGATCTTGTACATAGTCTTGCAGGACACTTTCAGGAGTGAGGGAAATTACATCTTGTTACATATTAGAAGATACCCTTGGCATGGTGCTCCCATATTTCAATAATTTTGTCTTTTCCTGTGGAACTTTTGTTTGTTGTGGTGTTCTGATCAAGGTTATTTAAAAATGTGTTTGATATATTAAGAAGACACGTGATAAATTACTGAAGCAACAATCTATTTTTTCACATTCACAAAAACCTGAAAATGATAATACCAACAATGTTCTTTGGTTTACTTTCTTCAACCAATTTCTCTATAATACATTCTTCAGGTTTGGTCACATCAAATTACTGTCAATTATCCAACTTTATCAAATTATAAAATACATTAAAATCAATGGATACAATAAATACTTCATAAAGAAAAGACTGCCGAGGCAGCGGCAGCGGCAGCGGCGGCAGCAGAGGCATCCTACCAGCTCTTCTTCCTCAAAAAACATCGCTCATCAAAACTTGTGATGGCCTAAGTGAAAGTTCAACTACATGAACCCACGTAGACCACAAAATGACCCAAGAATACTAAGAATGTAACCCAAATCTTGACAAAATTAGAAGATCTAAGGAAGACAGCCCTGCTAACCCAAACACTGCCTCCACTGCCAGACAATCACTTAACCCAAGCTCCGAGAAAACAAGCCTTCTCCATTGCTACACAGTATCTACTTCAGTGATACTATGAAAGGATATCGCAGAAGAAACAACATCAGTAATAAAAGAATAACAGCAAGGACCCTAGAACTCAACTTGTCTACCCAGCAGGACGCCGGTGTATCATCAACCCCCCTCACCGCCGCCACCCAGGGAACAACAACAACAACAAACATGGCTGACTCCCCCTCCAACTCCACTCCCTTCAAAGGATTCACCCATGATTACTCAGGTATGATTATTCCTGACAATATCAAGGACTACATCATTGCTCTAGAAAACGAAATCAAAGATATCAAAGCAACACTCGAGCGACGAGAATCCAAGATAACCAACCTCGAGAACAAGATCCAAAACCTTGAAGAGAAGATAACATCGGGAAGTGTTGACACAGAAAATACTCTGAAAGCAGCTATAGCCAGTCACACTGAACAAATAACTACAATAAATATGAAGGTTGAAGAAGCAATCAAGGACTGGAATAAGAACATGCACACTCGACTAAATGAATACCTTGATTTCCAAGACGACAAAACTGAAGAAGATAAGTTGTCTGATGCAGTTATAATAAACAGTCCACACATTCCAAGTGACATAACCCAAGCACAGTGCAAAGAAACTGCTATCAGGTTAATAAAGGACCACATGCAAGTCATCGTGCAAAACAATGAAATCAAAGAAACACGTTTGCTAGGAAAACCAGGAAGTAAACACAGTATAATGATCCGACTTCATTCATACGATAAAAGAAAGGATCTAATTAAATCAGCAATTACAATGAAAAATGAAGTGTACATAAATGAGTGTCTAACAAGAAAACGTCAAAACCTTCTGTTCAGGCTGAGAAAACTTAAACAGGAAAACAAAATACATCAGTGTTTCATGCGAGATGGGAAAATACTAGTAAAGAAAACATCAACAGGACAACATACTATCTCAAACGAACATGATTTCTCTACCTTTCTTAGAAAAGCGGACATTTCTGTAACAGATTAGATAAGTGCCCTTAATACATATATACGTGTGGTGCATATAGTGTACGTTACTATTATATTGTGCATTATTATTTTTATTATTTTTTCATCACTAGCTAATGCCAACTACCTCCAGTACTTTATACTTCTTTCTTACTGCTATTAATTGCTCATAATTTTAAGTTACAAGTCAAATCTTACTCCAAATTAATATTATTCATTGTTCTTACCTGTCCATTTAATTTTGTTTACCACTACTTGTTTTTTTAGTCACTTTTTATTGTGTGTGCAATTAGTGTATATTCCAACTACTTTTTTGCAAGTACCAAAACTATCTTTTGCTAGCTAGTACCAACTACCTCATTTTTTAACTTTTTATTGAGCAATAAACTGCTCAACTTATTTAATATTACAAATCAGATCTTACTCCTGAACCAATATTATTTCATAGTGACTATCTGTCCATTTAACTTTGTTTACCATTACTTAATTTTAGTCCCTTATATATTTTTTCCTTTATTTTACCTTTATATAACTACCTTAGTTCATATATTCACAATTGTTAAAATAATCAAGGTGCTATTCTCAGGTGCTAAAGTGTAATAAGTTCACTATTTTGCCATTATATTCCAAAGCTCATTTATTTGATTACCACTTTATTGTTCACCACAACTTATATTAGTCCCTTTTATATTATAATTTTATATTATAATTCTAACTTTAAAGAATTACCTTTAAAGTACTACCTACTATCATATTCCCAAGCTCCATTATTTGATCATCACTTTATTTGTTCACCACAAAATATTTTAGTCCCTTTTATATTGTCTCCTTTATTTTAGCTTTAAAAAACTACCTTAGCTCATTATTTTTTACATTTGTTAAATAATTCAGGTGCTATTTTTTAGCTTTAGAATATTTACTTTGTTTTATACTTAATTCTAACTATAGATTCACTATAAATCTTATGATTACAAGCATTGATCCTGATACCAACCTCTTATTGAATGACTTAAATGAATCAAACAGTTACTGTAATTACTACACAGCAGAACAATCAAAGGCACTTCTCAGAGCCAACAAAAACATAACTGTCTTTAACTACAATATCAGATCTTTAAGCAAGCATTATGATGACCTTATAGCAATACTAAATTACTTGCATGCCAATATGTCCATCATTACACTAACTGAAACCTGGCTAAAGCCTGATGCTACATTCCTGGTTACACAGCCATACACAACTGTAGGTCAGACCAACAAGGGGGTGGCACAGCCATATACTACTCAGACCAACTAGAATGTATCACTAATACTTGCACAAGGGATGAACATGGGGAATATATAATAGCTAAATTCAAATCCAAATACCTACAAAAACCTCTCACATTGATAAACATCTACAGAGTTCCACAGTCAAACATTAGCCAATTTAGTCAAAACCTAGGAAGTATGATAACTGATGCACGCATGAACAAAGATCACTTACTACTCTCAGGTGACTTCAATATAAATCTCCTGCAAGACCAGGACCCACACGTTACTGAATTCACAAACACAAGAGTAACTGCATGTTGCTACCCAAAAAGTAACAAAACCTACAAGAGTTACGGAGACTAGTTTTTTCCCTACTTGACCACATCTGGACCAACACCATATCCCCTTTAAAATCAGGCATAATTACAGATAATACCACAGACCACTACCCTACTTTCCTCATAACAACTCTTGGTAAATTACCCCAAGACACTACTAAAGTCACCTTCAGACTTCACAATGAGGCAGCCATTAATAACTTCACAACAGCAGTAACAAACATTGACTGGCACACTGAGCTAGAAATCTATACAGATATTGATGAATGTTTTAATAATTTTCTAAAAAAGACCCAATACCTCTATAACAAGCACTGCCTTAAAAAAACTAAACAGATGACAGCTAAGAGACTGAACAGTCCCTGGCTAACACCCAGAATTCTCAAATCCATAAATACAAAACACCGATATGAAAAACAGTACAGAATGGGTCACATAACCAGAGACCAAACAAAACGTTACTCGTCAATCCTAACCAGCCTGATAAGAAGGGCAAAAAAATTGTATTATGAGAACAGATTATCCAACTTACGAGGTGATATGAAAAAGACCTGGAAAACCCTATCAGAAATTCTGGGAACAAAAAAGATATCACGAAATAGCGAAATAAAATTAGCAAAATCAGATGAACCCCAACTCCCACCAACAGAAACAGCAAACAGACTCAATGATTTCTTCTCCACTATAGGACAAAACCTTGCCAATAAAATCCCAAGCTCAGATACCCAACCAAATGACTACCTCACTGGCAACTACCCGAACACACTGTTCCTAGCTCCGATTAACCCATACGAAGTCTCCCTTATTATTAACGCAATAAAAAACAAGGCAGGAGATTTAAATACCTTACCACCCTTTATATACAAAAAAGTGTCACAAGTGCTATCACCAATCATTGCAACACTCTTTAACAAATCCATTGAATCCTCCACCTTCCCTACAGTTCTCAAAATAGCAAGGGTCACCCCGATCCATAAAGGAGGAGACCAAACAGAGTTGAATAACTATAGGCCAATATCCAATTTACACCCTCTCTCAAAAATCTTCGAAAAATTAATTCATAAATGAATCTACTCCTACCTCATCTCCAAAACATACTCAACCCCTGCCAATTTGGATTCAGGCCTAATAAAAATACTAATGATGCTATTATACACATGCTAGAACATATATACACTGCAATAGAGAAAAAAGAAGTCCCTCTGGGGATCTTCATTGACTTACGTAAAGCTTTTGATACAGTTGACCATGACTTACTCCACGTAAAATTGTCACACTATGGTATAAGAGGGCACTCCCTCAACTACCTCAAGTCATACCTCAGCAACAGAAGCCAATATGTGTACACAAATGGAGCAAGCTCTTCCGCACTACCAATTACAGTTGGTGTCCCACAGGGAAGTGTCCTTGGCCCTCTTCTCTTTCTTCTATACATAAATGACCTACCAAATGCTTCGCAATTACTCAAACCCACACTATTTGCAGATGACACTACATACATCTTCTCTCACCCGAGCCCAGTCACGCTAGCCAATACTGTACTGTAAATACCAAATTACAGAAAATATCTACCTGGATGAGGACTAACAAACTTACACTACACACTGACAAAACCTACT